TAGATTATATTTTTAAAATCTCCTACTCTCTTGCTTTAAAATTTTATATTATTTTTATCATTTGTTTTCTTTTTTAAAATTTTTTTAAATTATTTAGTTATTGATTGATTTGCTATAGGATCTCTCTATGCAGTTCAGACGCTAGTGATCCTCCTGTCTCAGTCTCCCCAGTGCTGAGATTACAGGTGCGTGCCACCACACCTGGCTTCAGTCGCTGGCGGCATGGGGCACTGGGGATCCAACCTGGCTCCGTGTGCTTGCCAGACAGGTGCCGAGACTGCCGAGCAATCTCCCCAGCCTGGTTTTCTTTCTTTTAAAATTAAAAAAAGGGCCAGGCAGGTAGGCCAGATAGCTCAATGGACTAAAGCGCCTGCTTAGGCAGGTGCAGGGGATGGGGTTCAATCCCCGATTGGCCATGCTGGCCCCACCCCTGACACGCACTGAGATGGTGACTGAGACTGGGAGTGGTGGAGTGCACCTGTAATCCCAGTGCTTGGGAGGCTGAAAATAGAAGGATTGTTATGAGTCCAATTTGTGTAGTGAGACCCTGAAGACTCTGTACTAAATATATTAAAGAAAAAAAAAAAGGCTGGGGATATAGCTTAGCAGCATAAGCTGTAAGCATCTGCCTGGCAAGCACAAGATCCTGAGTTCAATCTCCAGTACAAAGAAATCCATCCATCCTTCCATCCGTCCATCCATCCATCCATCCATCCATCCTGCCAGGCTGGGCTTGAGCTTGCCATCGTCCTGCCTCACCCTCCGGGAGTACAGGGCAAGAGCGTGCCACCCTGCCAGGCTCTGTGAGCCTTCTTGTGCTCTCTCGCAGCCCCACCACACTCTGAGACTGGAAAGAAACAGATGTGGCCCGGGTCGGATGCCAGAGGTCTCCCCAGTGCTGCTGTGACAGAGCAGAGGCATTCAGGACCCTCCCACGGCCCCTGAGCCCCGTGCCCACCAAGTGCGAGCCCTCAAGTGAGCCACAGTCACCCCAGCCCTGAGCCCTGGCCTTGGGCCCCCCTTAGCTGCAGCAGGGTGGGGCCGACGGATGTGCATTCACATAACAAGCCACGCCCCGTCCCCGGTTCTTCGCCTCTGTGTGAGCCCAGCCAGCACCATCGTCTGGGCCTGATCACCACACAGGACCAGGATACAGAGCCCTGGGCAGCCATGCACCCATGCGAGACATGCCAGCAAGACTGGGAGCAGGATATTTGGGGCGACAGGAGGTGCTGGGGGAGGAACCCAGGCCTTGCTGCCTCACCACACCTGCACCCAAGGTGTTCATGCCTTGGGATGACCCAAAAACTTCTGACTTTTTGTTTGTTTGGTTTTTG